AACGATCACCTTGAAGATATTACGCAATTTGAATATAAATATCGAATAAATTAGATTGTTAAATTCCAAAGATAGCAAGCAATAGGCGAAACCATGAAGCAAATATTTGCTTCATGTGCGAAACGTAGGGCTCTCGACTTTCGACATGCCGCTAAATGGACGCCGAGTGAGACAAGAAGACATCAGTGGAAGGCCTTAGGAGAATGGGTCTCATTAGTAGCTTGATTAGACTCGCCTATCATAGTGTATTAATATCAAAAAATTGTTGCGGTATTCCAAACTCATCTCGATATTTTCGGATGAATTAATTTATTTCAGACTAGCTCCGTAGCTTTGATAGTAAGAATTATGTATGTTAGATGTAGGTATATAAATTTACCAATAAATAAGCTTTGACTGAGATAAGATGAACAAGGCACAGGTCATAATATGTAACATCCGTGTCACTCCTATGCCGCTAAGCTAAGTTCTTCGGATTTAGAAGCACTACGCTTAGGGTTACCAGATGTCCTTTATTTCACACCTAAAAATTAATCTTGTCACCTAATTTGAAATATACAATAGCTAGTTGAAGTCAAAGTTGAGTTGCGTATTAACATTATTTTTTTTATTAATAAATATTGCTCATGATATTATGACAACATTTTATTGAAATCAATATGATATCCCCTCTTTTTATGGTTCCGTACTTACACAACAAAGGAACCCTTAAAGTTTCGTCATGTCCGTTCGCGGTTTTCCTCAGAGACCCTAGATGCTACAAATCTGTAATTTGGCGTAGTTACGAGTATAGATATTAATCACACCTAGAAAACTGTGAAATAAAATCTTAAAAAATACATTTTTATTTTAGATACTTTCCATACAAGTAAATGGAGGAAGATTCTTTTACCCGTCTATTCCATCATGTGGGGCATCGTTGGATAGGTCTTTCAAAAACATTGGGGGTGTGAAACCTTTTCGATTCAGGGATCCGTTTGCGAAATATTTAACTTTAAAGTGGTATTTTTCATTAGTGTCAGTGACGACCTGGTAATAAATGCAGGAATTCGATGTATGCAAGTGGCTTAGGACTGTGCTTTGTAACATTTCGTTCTGAGCAAAACCGAGTACGGACGGCAGGCCATAGCGAAACTATAACGGTTTCTTGTTGTGTAACTACGGAAGCCTAAAAACGAAATTAGAATCATCCACGTCACATACGAGTATATTATGACCCACTTTCTAAAATTTTTGTTATAATATCTGATTAAAGACTGAAAAGAGAGAAGATTCAGATGGGATCTGAATAAAACTGCTATAGTTCAGCGTACAGACACATAATATCATATGCAGAACACTAGGCTCATAATATCACAACAAATCCTGATTGACTGCGACAACTTATACAATATCTTGACGCTAGTGCCAGTATTTGAATTTTATGTTACTAAAATATCAAATTCGGAAACAATTTTCACGCAAAGACATTGATTGCTGCTTAAAATATTAAGGCGTAATAACGTGGCAGTGACAGCGTTCAGAAATGCTGTTTGGCTAGAATAGAATGACACGAGTTGGCTGGCTCCGACCTATTTAGCCCGATAAGGTCAATAAAAGCAGGCTTAATGCAGTTGACATTTACTAAGATGAACTTACCCTTACTTCAGTCATCCAAGGTCATGGTCTCCCTATCACTGGAATGGCCCATAACCTGATATATGTCAAGTAAACACTAAAAAAAGTTTGTTACCGAAAAAAGATCCTTGAAAATAAATGAAGATTCTGAACGACGATGATACGACTTAAGTACCTTCAAGTAAAAAGCATATTTTTTTTAAAGGTCGGTAACGCATCTGCAATCCCCCCGGTGTTGCAATTGTATTATACCAGCATAAAATAGTAGCTTTTTGTTACTGTGTTTCGTATGGTGAGTGTAGAGAACTGGAGAACCCTTTTTGCTGGAAAAGAGGCATTCCATATTAGTCCTCACGGTCACGGCTGACAACGCATGTGCATTTTGATTCGCAAACGAGGATAGATGTAGATGTCTATGGATGTCTATTACCATCAGGTGGAATGTGTGCTCGTTTGTCACCCTTATTCTATAAAAAAAACCATAGATCCATTCCATTTTAGTAGCTGTGGGCCTAGATGTCTGGTTTAAAGGCCGTTTGAGATGATGGGAAGCGATTGCACTTACGAACATGTACTACGTACTAGAACTTAGTTGTTTGCGCCTAGACTTGGTTGTTTGCAAATTGCAACACGTGTTAGAGTCCGCGATTTCAAACTTACTTAGTCTGTGCCATAAAAAGGTACTCTGTGCTTCCTTCCACGCAGCCCGCACTGCCGCATACTTTTTGTTCCCGGTGTCTGTTCTAGTATGTGCTTGTTCTAAGGCGATCAATCAAAGGATAATTTAAAATTTAAAATTTTGTACAGCCGACTTTAATATAAATTACCTTGATCTACGTATTTGATGGGACCACATGTGAAGTACCAGCTTTCAAATAAAAAAAGAATCATCGAAATCACCCAGTAAAAAGTTATGAGGTAGTCGAATTGAGTACCGTCTCCTTTTTGAAATCGGCAGAAAAAGTAGTACACGACTAAATTCATGTGAACGAATCGGCTAAACTTCGAGCCATCTTGTGGTTCTGTCGATTGCTGACAACAATTTTTATGTCAACTAGTTGGTGAATCAAAATTATCAAGATGAGTGGACTGTGGCCCGACACTTTAGTGCCTACGCCTATCAAGTGCGATGAAACTCTTTAGTCTTTGATATCAGAAGGCTAAACTACCCAATCGGTGAAAAGACGAATCGTAGCTCGTGAGCTAGGATGACTCGATTATGTAACCTGATTGCTGGTGGGTACATCGCAGTGATCAGAGATGTTGGTGTCACGTATAACCTTCGTCAATTGTAGATTGTAACCCTTATGACGAAGGTTTGATAGTTTCTGACTTGCCTCTTGCAACTTGGCAAGGACTTCAAAATCTTACTTGATGGCTATGCCACGCGCGACGTCGTACCAGCAACTACATTGTCTTCTCCCTCGTCGTGTTTCCTCTCCTCTCCTCTCTCTCTCTCCTCGTCGTGGTTGGCTAAAGAAGGAGAGCTGATTCAATTGTGCTGGCGGGAATTTCTCCCGGCGCTGCATAAAAGCGTAAAGCAGTGGCTCGCTGTGAAGATGGTAATACGCTGGACTTTAAGGCGTAGCGAAAATATTGCACGCTTTAATAGATCACCATTAGTTACCGATGATATGTCGGCCACTACTCTTCGTGTTTAGTCAGCTTCTTGCTAAAAAGGCAAGAGGAAACCATTGATCATTAATCATTTGCTGGAGACAGGATCCTATGTGAACACGAGTATTATCAGTAAACACTAAACAATCCAATTGTTACATCGCTAATTGGATGTTACAGCAGAGTAGCATTAGATAAGCTTAGTTTTTAGACTTCGAATCAAGTCAGGTGAATAGAAAAGGAGCACACAAGAGCACAGTACCGCGCGGCGTGCTGCACGAAATGGCGGTATAAATGAAGCATGCCTACAAAACGACGCACGCCATGGACAGTTTTCGGAGAAGTCCAATATGGCTTGAACTCTCAGATGTGAAGAGCGTCATTCTCTGAGTAGGCGAGGATGTGATCATGGTACGGTAAACAAACATTGAGATCTCGTCTATAAATCAATGGGAGATTTGAGCAGCGTTACAAAAACCAAAGGTCATGAAATTTAAAAGAAATTCGAAAAGGCCAAACGGTGTGATAATAACTATATTCGAAACATCCTCTTAGTATACCAGGATCTAATGGTATGCTTTAACCAGATCGATGGTGCTGAAAATCTTGGCACCTATAAGTTTTTTTTTAAAACACGTTACCCCCACACTAGGATTTTCTCCTGTATCGTGGAGGTAATTTACAAACACAAATTGCACAAAGGCCAAACATCCAGACCCGGAACAATTATTTATAGGCCATACAAATACTTTTTGCGTGCGGGATCGAACCCGGGCCCCCCAGTGCAGCAAGTCATTGCTAAGCCACTGCACCACGGAGCCGTCTAAGTTTATGAACGGAGTCGTACGGATACTGATCTAGTATGGTCCTGTTTAATGCACGGTACTCGCCATAAGGCTGCCACGTGCTGTCCTATTTAGTAAGCTTTTAAGATTCTATTTTTATGGACGCAATGATTAACCATACTCACTTATATAATTTTTGTTTAATAAAAGGAGAATCACTAAATCTAGACACGAAAGGTAGCGCCGCTGTTGATTAATTAATTTTATATTTACAGTAAAAAATCAAAAGTCAAGTCATAGGAACAACGTCTGACAGACTAAACAGTTAAACAGATAGTAACGTAACAACCTACGTTTGCTATGAATGAAAACAATATATCAGTACTGCTTTTAAGGATAGAACTTGGATTTCTTACTTACAGGTAATTTGCATAACATTTGCATTTTCTTTCGCATCTACCACGGGGAGTGCTCTGAGGAATTGTTCGGATTAATCCCAGCCGCCAAATTTCACGAACGCACATCGCGGCAGAACTCCCGATACTATCCACACCATCTGGATGATTGGCGGTCCACCACTGTGCGATTTAGAAAATGTTTTCTTCCTCGCATGAATTCCTTGTGGAATCGATTACCATCAGCGATTTTTCCGGACCGATACGACTTAGGGACCTTCAAGAAAAAAGAGCGTACTCCTTTTTAAAAGGCCGGCAACGCATCTGCTATTCCCTCCCTGGTGTTGCAGTTATTCATGGGCGGCGGTAGTCACTTACCATCAGGTGAGCCGCATGCTCGTTTGCCCCCTCTCCTATAAAAAAAGGTAAATTTGAAACGGGCTTACATTTAGAAATTGACAAAAATGGCAAGAAAAGATGTAGCGAACAATCAAACAGCATTAAATTAGGATTAATATTTTTATTTTACGAAATAAAATTAATAATAGAATCCATAGATTCAAATAATTTATCACAATTATTAATGTTACAATTTAGTCAAGATTTCACTCAGCGCCTTCTTCTTCTTTTGTCCCTTGTTTAACTTGTGTTTCTGAAAAAAAGATGAATTACTGAATTTTCGTATATTTTAAAATAATTTATCCCGATCGTAGACCAATAAAAAAATAGACGGAGCGCTGCTATGCAAGTCCGGTCGTGCATGGAGTACTGCTGTCACATATGGGCTGGTTCTGCAAAATGCCACCTGGCAGCATTGGACTCAGTGGAGAGACTTGCTAAAAGGCTTATTGGTGACCTTGATTTGGTTGAAACCAATCTTGTCAGCCTCGAGCACAGGCGCAGAGTAGCCAGTCTCTCGGTATTCTATAGGATGCATTTCGGTGAGTGTGCGCAGGAATTACACGCTTTAATTCCTCCCTCTCCTTTCCACCATCGGACAACCAGGCGGTCGGCGGGTCTTCACACCTTTGTTGTCGATATTCCACGCATTAGAACCAAAAGGTTTGCTTCGCCTTTTGTAATGCGTACAGCAAAGGAGTGGAATAATTTGCCGGCGTCTATCTTTCCGTCCGAATACAATCTGGGCGTCTTCAAGGCAAGAGTGAATAGGCTTTTGTTACGATAAGACAGTGCGATTTAGGGCTGCATCACCACTTATCACCAGGTGGGATTGTGGTCAAGCACTGTCTTATAATAAGTAAAAAAAAAGTGACGACCTGGTAAGACATGCAGGAAGTCGATTGATGCGGGTGGCTCTTACTTTGTGGCATTCCATGGGGGAGGCCATGTTCAGTAGTGGACTTATGAAGGGCTGTAATGATGATGATGTCATTAATATTAATAACACTAGCATAAATTTTAATTGTTTACTTAATTAATTACTAATATCTATGGAGCCGTGTAGTGGCGGTCAAGAATATCCACTACTCCATATCCTCCCGTGGGTGTCGTAAAAGGCGACAAAGGGAAACAGGCAGGAGATGGGCAGCAGCATCTTCCTGATAATAGCCAAATTACAATAAAAAAACTGCGGTTGCCAACCCGCTCACCAAGAGTGGCAACTATGGCAAATACCCCCCTATGAATGACAGTAACAAAAAAACGGCCCCCAGTCCCCGGCGGCCCCGCTATTCCTGGCTACGGTGGCGACCATGGTAACGGCGGGGCAGGGGGTGCTAAGAATCTCCGGTGGAGGTTCGGTTGCCACCTTAGACGACTCGACCTGGCAACGTACAACGCACGCACCCTGAGGACTGACGAGAAGATCGTGGAGCTGGAAGAAAAGATAGACAAGTTGCGCTGGCATATTATAGGATTATCCGAAGTCCGAAGAGAGGGGGAGGACACGGTAATCCTCGAATCCGGCAACTTGCTCTATCACCGGGAGGGCGACCATCTGTCCCAAGGAGGTATCGGATTTATCGTCCACAAGTCTCTCGTTAACAACGTTGTAAAGATCGGGAGTGTGTCGACGAGGGTTGCGTACCTTATACTCAGAATCACCAAACGGTATTCGCTGAAGGTCATACAGGTTTACGCACCAACCTCGGCACACCCCGATGAGGAGGTGGAGGAAATGTATGAGGATATCTCTAGAGCCATGCATTCCTCCAAAACCCAATATACGGTGTTAATGGGAGACTTCAATGCAAAACTAGGCACAAGAGAGAACGGTGAGCTGAAAGTAGGGAAATTTGGAATAGGGCAACGGAACCCAAGGGGCCAGTAGCTGGCCGACTTCATGGAGAAAGAGGGACTCTTTATGATGAACTCTTTCTTCCAGAAGCGGCCCCACAGGAAGTGGACCTGGTCGAGCCCCGACGGTTCCACAAAAAATGAGATTGACTTCATTATGACGACCAGACGACAACTGTTCAGTGATGTCTCCGTGATCGCGAGGGTGAAAACTGGTAGCAATCACCGAATGGTTAGAGGCACACTGAACCTAAACGTTAAGTTGGAGAGGTCTCGTCTAATGAAGTCAACGCTCCGTCCCCCTCGTGCTCTGTTTCAAAGTCCCGAAACCTTTCAGCTCGAGTTACAAAACCGTTTTCAGTGCCTGGAAGACTGCAATGAAGTGGACGATATGAATGATAAGCTCGTGGAAACTGTCCATGCGGTCGGAGCTAAGTTCTGCAAGACCCGCCGCAGAAGAACACAAAAACTCTCCGATCACACTCTTAATCTCATGGCTGTTAGACGGGAGATGAAGCTACATTCTTCAACAGACTTGACAGCATACAGGCATCTGAACAGACAGATCTCCAAATGCATGCGGCGGGACTTACGCAACTTCAATACAGCTCGTATTGAAGAAGCGATCGAGCGGAACCAAGGCTCCAAAATCTTTGCCAGAGATCTGTCTGCCAGAAAGAGCCAACTGTCAAAGCTGAAGACAGAATGTGGCAGCATCGTTTCCGGGACACCTGAGATTTTGAGTGAGATTGAGAGGTTCTATGGGCAGCTGTACACATCATCGTTGGAGCCACACGCAAGTGTGAGTAACGATCCAAGAGCGAGTCTCATCCGACACTATTCCGAAGATATCCCGGATGTCAGTCTGAGCGAGATTAGAATGGCTCTCCAGCACCTTAAAAACGGTAAGGCCCCAGGCGAGGATGGAATTACAGCGGAGCTTCTGAAAGCGGGTGGAAGACCGGTACTTGAAGTCCTTCAGAAGCTCTTTAATTCCGTCCTCCATGGTGGCATTACACCGGAGGCGTGGAGCAGAAGTGCGGTGGTCTTGTTCTTCAAGAAAGGTGACAACGCTCTCTTGAAGAACTACAGACCGATTTCCCTTCTGAGCCGCGTCTACGTGCTGTTTTCGAGAGTCATTACGAATCGTCTCGCGCGCAAACTTGACGACTTCCAGCCTCCCGAACAAGCCGGTTTCCGAAAGGGCTTTAGCACCATAGACCACATACATACCCTTCGGCAAGTTGTACAGAAGTCCGAAGAGTACAATTTGCCACTATGTCTGGCGTATGTGGACTATGAGAAAGCCTTTGATTCCGTCGAAATTTGGGCGGTGCTGCAGTCCCTTCAGCGGTGCCAAGTTGACTGTCGGTATATCGAAGTGTTGAAGTGCTTGTACAGTAGGGCTACGATGGCTATCCGAGTACAGAACCAGAGTACGAAACCTATCCAATTGCAGAGAGGTGTAAGACAGGGTGACGTCATATCCCCGAAACTCTTCACCGCTGCATTGGAAGACGTTTTCAAGCTTCTGGACTGGAAAGGATACGGTACCAACATCAATGGCGAGTACATCACTCACCTTCGATTTGCCGACGATATAGTCCTTATGGCAGAATCGCTGGAGGACCTAAGCACTATGCTCAATGACCTCAATAGTGTTTCCCAACGGATAGGTCTTAAGATGAACATGGACAAAACAAAGATCATGTTTAATGTCCATGTCACACCTATGCCGGTAGTTGTTGGGAGCACTAAGCTCGAAGTTGTTGACGAGTATGTTTACCTGGGACAAATAGTCCGACTGGGTAAGTCCAACTTCGACCGAGAGGTCAATCGACGGATTCAACTCGGCTGGGCAGCGTTCGGGAAGCTACGACACATCTTCTCGTCAGACATACCTCAAAACCTTAAAACGAAATTGTACAACCAGTGCGTGTTGCCAGTGATGACTTACGGAACTGAGATGTGGTCCTTCACTGCTGGCCGTATGAGGAAGCTCAAGGTCGCTCAGCGAGCTATGGAGAGGGCTATGCTCGGAGTTTCTCTGCGTGATAAACTTAGGAATGAGGATATCCGCAGTAGAACCGGAGTGACCTACATAGCCCAACGGATTAGTAAGCCGAAGTGGCAGGGGGCCGGCCATATAGCTCGAAGAACCAACAACCGATGGGAAAAAAAGGTTCTCGAGTGGCGGCCTCGTACCGGTAGGCGAAGTGTAGGGCGTCCCCCCACGAGATGGAGTGACGACCTGGTAAGACATGCAGGAAGTCGATGGATGCAGGTGGCTCAGGACCGTGTTTTGTGGCATTCTTTGGGGGAGGCCTATGTTCAGCAGTGGACTTGTGAAGGGCTGTAATGATGAATGATGATCTATGGATGAAGAAAAATATACATGTGTTTTTTATTTTATTTGAAAAATATACGGATTTACCTTCTTTTTTTCGGCTGTCATTCCCACGAATTCTTTTCTCGTCTTTTTACCCGGTTGGTTGATACTTCTCTGCATCTTATTCGGTGGACCCTCCCCTCCATCCTACGAAAGATTAAAAGAACTTTCTTAAAGTTTTATATACTAAATTACTTGCGAACTTTAGCACCTTCATAAATAATTAAACTGAGTTATAACAATGTTTATGTTCCCGACGTTTCGAGCACTTTACTCTAGGAGTGGACTGTAACAGGTAAAATCGCATATCTGTGCCGCCTGTTCCAGTTCCACATAAATAACAATTCCAAAAACCTCTCTGTACCTCTCTTTCTAACTAAGGTGTTGAACCTATGCGAGAAAAGGACAGAGCTTGTGACAACTGTAACAGGGTGTCACATTGTAAAAGTAACATTTTTTATCTTATTCTAATGAAGATAAGTGTCATACGTTGCATAATGAATTTTGTTATCTCACGGAACAGGAGCTGTTTCTTCAGTTTGTCACAGTGACAGGCCGCTGTTTTAAGATACCTGTTTTTTTATCTGTTACGATAAATATGTCTCACTTCTACTATACAGCATGGGGTCCTGGTCATGGGGGGTCTGAGGTGTTCGACGTCCCAATGTTACAGTTAACCACGGCTACCTCCAGATTAAAATTATTAATTTACTAGCGATCCGCCCCGACTTTGCACGGCTAATTTCTGTATCTCTACAACAGCGCCACCTACAGGGTCGATTGAGAATCGTTTAGATCATCCAGGGACCCACTCAAACACACAAAAAATTTCATATTAGCCATTTTCGAGTTTTTGCGAGACTAACGGACAGCAATTAATTATTATATATAGAGATTATAAGTCTGCAATTTGTGAACACGTATAGGATCGCCCCCGTCATTACATCTGATTTGATAGACCAAAAATCCTCGCTAAAGAACAATGATTCCATCCAAGAATGATTCGCGAGGCTATTGAAATCAAAAAACATCCTATTTTCAATAGAGAAGATGGCTGGTTGCTACTATTTGTTTGGGATTCTATTTACGAGGGTGCGTTTTTAAGTTCACGGAATGGGTAGGTAGGTAATAAGTGGGGACGTCGCTGAATTACGTGCTAATTGAGCAACTCATTATTAGTATAAATACCGGGATTTATTGTAATTAGATCATTAGTCTTTGAGTTATCGTCAACCAAACAAGTCAATCGGGAAGAAATTGTGAAATATGGAGAAAATCGAGTTCCGTGCCGTTATAAAGTTCCTTACCAAGCGCGGAAAATCAGTTCAGACTATACTGGAAGAGATGTCATCCGTTTACGGAGACTCTTGTCCAAGTAAAACTATGGTTTACAAGTGGCATGTACCATTTTTAAACAAGGCAGAGAGTCACTTGAAGACGACCCACGGCCAGGAAGGCCGATCGAGATGACCGCTTAGGAAATTAATCAATCAAATTCAAGTCGAAACATTTATATTAGAAGATGCCCGCCTAAAGAAAAAACAGCTCGCAGAAATGGTTGGAGTATCAGATACAACCACTTTCAAAATTCTTCACGACCATCTTGGCATGACTAAAGTCAGCGCAAGATGGGTGCCTAGAATGCTCACGCCGCCTCAAAAGCAACAGCGCGTGGAGTATTCTCGTGCATTTTTGGACCTCTGTATGGAAGACAAAGATGGAGTGTTGGCTCGAATTGTTACTGGTGACGAAACTTGGGTTCACCATTATGAACCTGAGTCCAAACAGGACGTTAAACAGGAGTTATACGTGGTAGAGCCATGCTGCATCTATATTATGGTTGTAGCACGAATGGGTCGGCTCGACCGGGGAAGGACCACGCTCTCACAGAATACCAGCGTAAAATAGCAGCTTAACGCTGCTGTGTTTCGTATGGTGAGTGTAGAGAACCGGAGACCCTTTTTACTGGAAACAAGGCATTCCATCTTAGTCCTCACGGGTGACAACGCATCTGCATTATGACTCTTAATCGAAGATAGATGTAGATGTCTATGGGCCACAGCGACCACTTACCATCAGGTGGACTGTGTGCTCGTTTGTCACCCTTATTCTAAAAAAAAAAAAAAAGGACTCTATGCAGTGGCACAAAAAAGGCACACCACCACCCAATAAATTTAAAGTGGCGCAATCGGCTGGGAAAATAATGGCGACAGTCTTTTGAGACTCAGAAAGAATCCTATTGATTAATTATAAAGATAAAAGGTATCTCCATAACCGGAAATTACTGCGCTTCAATCCTAGAACAATTGCAGGAAGCCATAAAGGAGAAAAGGGGAAAATTGAACAAAGGAATCCTTCTTCTGCACGACAACGCGCCTGTTCACTAGTGCCATGTTGCGATGGCTGCCCTGCGGAAGATGGGCTTCGAAATTTTGCCTCACCCACCCTATAGTCCTGACCTGGCCCCCAGTGAGTATTATCAATTTCCAAACTTAAAAAAAGAAATTCGTGGGAATAAGGTTTTACGTGATGAAGAAATAAAGGAAGGAGTTTCGGCGTATTTTTTAAACAAAGACAAATATTTTTTTGAGGGTATACATAAGTTAATTGAAAGATCCGAAAAATGTATTAGGGTAGCAGGTGAATTATTGAAAAGGAAAAATAAATTTGGATTTTTATTTCCACTCCTTACCCCCCCCCCCCCCCATTCCGTGAACTTAAAAACGCACCCTGGTGTATAAATAAAATGATAGAGGTTTGCAGTTGTGCGCGCATCACGTAAAATCTACTGAATGGATTTCAATTAGGTTTTCAAAGTTTTATTTCTAACAACTTGGCCCTTATCTAAGAAAACATTTATTGCGATATCTTCATTTAACATAATGTTATTAAAGTTTTAAGAAACAAAGATTTTTATAAGCACTATGTGTTCAGTGATGTGTGTTTTCTTGATATATCTAGCAACGCGGACGAAGTCGCGGGTATCAGTAATTAATAAAATTAAATCCCAACCCAAGAATACAACTGCAAGGCTTCAAGATACTATAACTTCATAGTGCGTAAATGAGACCAAAAAGTAATAGTTTTAATCTGGAGATAGTCATGGTTAACCATGTTATATACAAGTGAGATGCGGGAAGTAAAGACTGTGTAAGAGTTATAGTCGAAATAAGAATTATATTTTTTTGGTTTTTGGCCATTTTGACTCCCTAGGAGTGTAATGAGAACTGTTTGCCCGTATTCAACCATGACCCCTATGACATCCTCTACATGAAAGACTATTCAAACTGACTATGCCTAAAGTTCGAACTACCCCCAATTTTTTTGTTTTTGGCCATTTTGACTCCCTGGGAGTGTAATGAGAACTGTTTGCCCCTATTCAACCATGACCCCCATGACATCCTCTACATGAAAGGCTATTCAAACTGACTATGCCTAGTTTGAGTCAACCTCCCACACAGTTCTAGTCTTTACTTCCAAACAAGTATATTTCTCACCCTAATCGGCAGTTTTACCCGCGTAATATTATATCAAGAATCAAGAATCATTTATTTGCATAAAACACGGTAAATAGGTTGTTACATTAAATAAAAGATCAACATGTTTTGTCCTGTTAGGGCGTGCAAATATTTAAGTATATGATCACTTAAATTTAAATTAGTTATTTAAACAGTACAATTATTATTATTATAGTATTCATATTTAAAATCATAATTCATTACAAACAGATTGAATTGAATTAAATTGAATTAAAATTAGTTATTATTTAAACAGTACAATTATTTTTATTATTATAGTAGTCATAAATCATAATACATTATAAACATTATATTCATGGTCAAGTGAATTTATTTGTAATTAAAAACCTCTTTAATATTATGGAAAGCCCTGTCCACCAACCACATAAAAAGTTTGCTTTTAAATTTACTAACAGGCAATGACTTTATGTCGCTAGGCAGTTTGTTAAACACCTTTATTGCCATCGAGTAACTGCTCTTATGAGAGGTTGCCTTCTTTCTGAATGGAAGAACTAGTTTATCCTTATACCTTGTATTAAAACTAACAACATCACTATTTTTTGTAAAAAACTGTTTATGTTTTTTGACCAAGACACCCAATTCGAAAATATAAATGCTAGGAAGTGTTAGAATTTTTAGGGTTGGAAAAAGTTCTCTACAAGAATATAATGGACCAACCCTGCAGATTGCCCTTACACACTTTTTTTGAGCAATAAAAGCTTTGTTCACTGTAGATCCATTTCCCCAGAGTATGACGCCATATCTCAAAACGGAATCTATATAGCCATGATAGGCGAGTAAAGCAGTTTTTTGAGATGAAGTATGTCTTTGCCAAGTACAACCATCATCAATATGTATCCCCAAGAATTTTGTATTTTGAACCTCCTCTAGTATACTTTTTCGACATGTAGCAGAGACGATGATTGTCTCCAATAAATTGCAGTATGACCATCTCATTCATTCTCTTTTGTATTCACTCAGCAGGCTAGTTGTTAATAAATAATATCTAAGTGGCATTCCCTATAGTCAACTTTTATTACACCTACAACACGAAATTGTGAGCTAAATTCTCTTACGACATTTTTTTCTATAGAATACTAGTGACAAAGGAGCACACAGTCCAACTGATGGTAAGTGGATGCTGTGGCCCATAGACATCTACATTTATACTCGACTGCGAATCATAAAAAAATGCAGATGCGTTGTCACACCTGAGGATGCCTTGTTTCCAGTAAAAAGGGTCTCCGGTGCTCTACACTCACCATACGAAACAACATAAGTGAGAGTGTGGTCCTTAACCGGTTGAGCTGACCCATTCGTGCTACAACTAATATAGCTGCAGCGTGGCTCAGGTAAATAATAATGTAACGAGATCAGGTAAATAATAATGTAACGAGATCAGGTAAATAATAAATTAACGAGATCAGGTAAATAATAATGTAACAGTAAACGTCAACCCCTTAATCACATGTGTTACATAATCAAATGACTCGGTTTTAAAATTCTTTTCGCTCTTTCGTTTTCAGTAAGTCTGAAGGGGATGGTATAGGTGATAACGTTTGTGTTGCAGTTGATAACAATTGGGCTGTTGCATTTGAGAATTCAAGAATATTTTTTTTTATAAGAAATCAAAGTAACAAACGAATTTACAGTCCGTCTGATGGTAAGTGGCTATTGCAGTTCATGTACACCTGCAGTCCACCTGTCCAACCACCATCAATCAAAGAAGGCTGCAGATGCGTTATCCCCTCTGAGGACTAAGATGGAATTCCTCTCAGCTTGTAAATATACTGGCTCTCTATACTCTTCAGACCAGAACACGGCAGTAGGCGTGGACAAAAATATCGATATTTTTTATAAATATATAGATATATATATAATCGATATTTTGAATGTCTATATATCGATATATCGATATTTATTTTAGAGTATCGAATTCGTATCAATTTCGATATATTTCAAAATATTGTATTAATGACAAAACATGCAACAACAAAAGGAGGTACAAATGTTTTTGTGTGGTTGGTTGTCATTTTTTTTTTCGTCCTCCAACCGTCAGTAATATAAAATTTTGGACCTTATTTTTACATCATGTAAATGATGACGATATATCGATATTTATCACGCGACATATATAGAAACTGTTTAAAAATATCGATTCGATATACAGTGGCGGTCACATAATTAAAGACACTATTCTGTGTGACCATATACAAGAGTATTACAGACGTGTAGAGTACTCAAAGTAGGTATTAATTATATTTCGTAGTTATTAATCTTTAGATGGAGATCGTATTATTAAAATGGAAACATCACAAATGTGTATTTAGCAATAGTTGAGATTTTATTCCTTTTTTAAACAAAATAAAAACTTTTTCGACAAGTTAACCGCTGGCCAGCGAATTAAAGACAGTGTGTGTTTTCATGTTCTAAATTTAAAATATAATGTTAAAACAATAATGTTATTTTTCATTTGGCGCGAATTTGACCGGAACATAGAATAAAAATAAAAACTAGTTTTATAATTAATAGAAATTATTAAATTTTATTAGTGTTATTATGGGAAAAAACAAAAGCTGTGATCCGTCTACAAGGATACTCTACTCTACAAGTTATATAGGAAGATTGCAGATTAGTTAGGATGCTGTAAAGATATGGTTATGAAAGCTATCCGGCATTTTAAGAACTTTAATACTACTGAAAATGTGCCCAGGAAGACTAGACCTAGAAAACTAACCCCACGAGAAGACTCAAGAATAGTGTTGTTGGCAAAAAGGGAACTGTTTAAAGGATCAGAACTGATTCGCTCAGAAATATTTTGTGAGGAAAGATTGAGAGGAGTGTCTGCAAGAACGATAAGAAGGCGATTGTGTGAAGCAAGCTTATTCGGAATAATATCTCGTAAGGTACCACTATTAAAGAAGCAAGATTAGTGTTTGCCAAAAAACATGAACACTGGACAGAACGTGAGTGGAAAAATGTACTTTTTACTGATAAAACGAAAATTAATATGATTACTTCAGATCGAAAAATGTATGTGAGACGTCCTCCTAAAAAAAAAATGGATCCGAAGTACACGAAGAAAACAGTAAAACATGGAGGCGGAAACATTAAAGTTTGGGGTTGTTTTTCTGGTCATGGTATAGGAGTATAGGACCTATCAAGAAAATAGAAGGGAACATGGATAAATTCCAGTACAAGAATATTTTAGAGGAGGTCATGATACCCTATGCTAAGGAAAGTTTGCCGGTGGTTTGGACTTTCCAACACGACAATGACTCAAAACATACAGCAAAAGTTGTCAAAGAATTCCTAAGAAGCCAGTCAGTAACTGTGTTAGATTGGCCACCATACAGCTCTTACCTCAACCCCATTGAAAACTTGTGGTACCGCGTCAAGAAAATAGTGGCATCAAAACATACCACTAACGTACACCAACTTTAGGCGGCTTTTAAAGAAGCATGGGAACAAATTTCAATTGAAATTTGCAATAAATTGATCGCATCATTGCCAAGGCAATGTCGGGCTGTTATTGCTGCTAAAGGACACGCGACAAAATATTAATAACGTGGTTTTTTGTTTTTATAATATGTCTTAAATTTATCAAAATAAAGTTGATTTCAATATTTACATTTTTTTTATAATTACTTAGTACAAAGTCTTTAATTAGTTGGCCAAGTCTTTGCTTAGGTCATGGTGGTCTAAATGTAGTTAAACTGTATAAATATTCGGGACACATGAGGTTTATTTTCAATGTTTAATTCCAACATTTCACAATGAATTTCCGAATGATTTTAATATTGTGTCTAGCTCTTATTAAATTTCAACAAGCATATAAAGAGTAGATAAACTTTGTTGTTTTAATATCCCTTTAGTGTAGTATTGCTCAAATGACAAAATTACCGTTTATTAGGGTTCTGTACCTAAAGAGTGTCAACGGGACCCAAGTCTCTACTATCGTTCCGTCTGTCTGTCAGCAGGCTGTATCTTATGAACCGTAATATGTAGATACTTGGAGTTTTCGCAGAATGTGTATTTATATTGCTGCTATAACAACATAATATAAAATAAAATATTAAAGGCCCCAAAAAAAGCACATTTCTTGTATGAAGACCATACAAGAAACGTGATTTTTTTCTGTATTTATATATGTTTTGTTTACAGACTAAAGCGAAACCTGGATTAACACGCAATAAAATGATTCTGTGTGTATGGTGGGACTGAAAGGGTATCATCGTTTATCATGAGCTCTCACCGCCGGGTAAAACCATCGATTCGGATCTCTACTACCAACAAATAATGCGACAAGCAAGAAATAGAAAAAGAAAACGGCCGGCATTGATAATCAGAAAAGGAGTGGTCTTTCATCATGAAAACGCCAGATCACAAGAGTAGCTATCTGTTTGAGACTATCAATACACACTAACATTCCTAAAAATCCAGTATTAGCTTTAGTACTTAAAACTGGTTTAAAACTTTTAATCATTATTTTCTTTTGTTGCTTGTGTTCTTTAAAAGAAAGCTTTCTGAAGGTTTTATTAAGTTTATAATATATATTATAAACTTAATAAAACCTTCAGAAAGCTGTTTCGCGTGTTCTAAATAATTAAAAATATTATTATTATTTTTTCATTATAAATGACCACCATTGTATATCGATATATTTTTTCCCTTGCTCATCCCTACACGGCAGTGCAAGCGCTGCCTTACAATTCGAAAAAGACATTCGGTACCTTTATTACATTATGACCTTTATTATTTAATTTATTGATGTTGATTTTTAATCGACTACAAAAAGGTATCATTTCGAGTGTTTTTTTTTGTATGTATGTTAGGTGATATCTTTGGAGATTGTGAACTAATTTTGATGGTTCTTTTTTTATTAAATTGTTAGGTTATACTTCAAGGGAGGTCTCTAATAAATTTGGAGGAAAAAATTCCACCCCTAAGGGTAATAAATAATTTATGGTATAACAATTTGAAGTCGGTTTTTACAGTACTGTAAAAGTTATAATTATTATTGTTTGATGTTATGGTTGATGATAAAGCTGTTTTTAAAGGAAAAACATTGATACACACCTGATTTTTTCTCTTATTCATTAACCTCCTATAAGCGCCGTCAGCCTTACTGTCATTATTGTTTGGCCTTCCCACATTTCTATTGTCACCTCTATTCCCAAACTGATTTCTGCTCTGTACATTTCCCCTATTATAATTCCCGTGCAGATTTCCTCTGCGATTATCCTGCTGAGGCTTTTGTTTGTGTGTGATCTGAGTGCATCGTTTCACTCGAAGTATTCTATTCTTTATTGTAAGATCCTCCTCTGATAGAGCCAAAGCTAGCTCTACTGCATCTTTTGATTTAAAGTTGACATAACCGAAACCTGTAAAAATTGAATACTATGATAACTTTTAACTAAGGTAACATATAAAAAAATGCAATTTGGTCGACTCAATATTAAATTCTCATTTGGTCACTAACACTCAGAATGACAGTTAATGTGCGTAAATACACACCATGCACACATGCACGTAATCGTGCACGTGGTAGAGCCATGCTGCAACTATACTAGTCTTTAATGCTGCTGTGTGTCGTAGGGTGAATGTAGAGAACCGGAGATCCTTTTACTGAAAACGAGGCATTTTATCTTAGTCCTCAGGGACGACAACTTACCATCAAGTGGACTGTGTGCTAGTTTGTTATCCTTATTCTCTAAAGAAAAAAGAAGTAAGTTACAAAAGTGTATGCAAACCATTCTTTACCTTTTCCAGCATTAGTCTTTCTGTCTCTTATAATTCTCACGGAGACAATCTCTCCGCACTGCTGAAACGTCTGCTGTAAAGCTTCATCTTCCAACGCGAAGGGTATATTGCCAACGAAAACGGAACATTTAGGGTCATGTTCGGAGCCAGTGCAATCACTGCGGGTCACCCTTAGGTGGTGATCATTTAGTACTGTCCCATTTTCTGCCAAAGCCTAGAATGAAAGTCAAGTTTCTTAATAATAATAACAATTTCCTCCAGACCGAATTTCGGTCACGGCGGCCAGTCTCAACGGAGACTAGCCATCGGCGCAGGACAGCATTATAGTGCCTAAGTGTATGCGCAAACACACTCTCTATTCCCTCACTCTCAAAGTCCGATGGGATGGTAAACCGACACGACCGGAGAGAGATCAGCCGCAGGACCAACGGCTTTACGTGCTTTCCGAGACACGGAGGTGAGACACCGCCAACTTCCTGACTCCGGGCAGCTACTGAGAATTTCTTGATGGAAAAACTCAATAACTGATTTTTTTTTGGCCCGACTCGGGATTCGGACCCGGGTCCTCAGGATCAGCAGTAGCATTACTACAACCACTAGACCAACAAGGCAGTCTCTTATCTTATCTTAATAACAAAGTACCTAAGAAAGGCCGCACAAAGAATATCCTTAACATGCTTTCTTTCCATATCAGTAGTAAAAGTAAAAAAGGAGCTTATAATAAATGCTATTTTTATATTATTTATAGCAATGTTTGTAATACTGTGTTTGGGTCTCAAGAGTCTAGAGCAGAGATTCCTAAAGTGGGTTTCGTGGAACCTAAGGATTCCATGGAAAAGTCACCAGGGTTCTGTGAAATCATTTGTTTTGCTTATTAAATAATTTCACACATTGGTACAAATATTATTTTGAATTGGCGCTAAATATGTAAAAAAATCTCTATATGCCCTTATACTTATATAAATTATATTTTGTAAGTCGAAATTTAATATTAGAAATCTAGTTCCATTTCGGTTGCCGAATGCTTTTGTTCATTTTACTTCACTTTTATTTATTACTTCATCTTCTGTATTAAAATTTTAAAATCTTAAATGTGTTAATTTTTATCCATTTTAAATGTTATAAATAATAATTACAGTACATAATTGAGTAATAATTTTTTTTATTCAATAATAATTCCAGTCACAATAGCATATTATTGTACTCAAACTAACATTATTTCATAACTTTAAAAATCCCGCGTAGTTTCCATGTTGTTGTTGTCTAATGATAATATAATGGTAATCTGTATCTGATAGCAATAATAAAGTATAACCTAAATTATCTGTTAAAAAATAAAAATCTTTGATTTACATGAAACAGACTGAGTGTTAGTGTAAGCTGTAACTGATCCGTTTCTAACAAATTTTTATTGGATTTTTTATGCAGCTATCATTTACCACGACTCTCCATTATCATCATCATTATTACAGACCTTCAGAAGTCCACTGCTGAACATACCTCTCCCCCCAGTCTCGTACAGATTAGTAAGCTGAAGTGCCAATGGGCTGGCCATATAGCTCGAAGAACTAACAACCGATGGGGAAAAAGGTTCTCTAGTGGCAATCCCGCACCAGCGAAGTGTAAGGCGTCCCCCCACTAGATGGAGTGACGACCTGGTAAGATATGCAGGAAGTCAATGGATGCAGGTGGCTCAGGACCGTGCTTTATGGCATTCCTTGGGATAGGCATATATTCAGCAGCGGACTTGTGAAGGGCTGTAATGATGGTGATGATAATATTGAATAAAAATTATTCCATTCTATTCTAATCGTCTCTACATAAACATACACATGTCAGACATGTGCAAGCATATGTTGCTGTGTTTCATATTTGCATTTTAATTTTTTAGTAAGTTATTACAGCAATTTCCATATCTTTCATACCTTACTTTAGAATTTAATTACGGTGATCGGCACAAAGTTTTTAATGGTAATGTAATATAATAAACTAAATGATCGAAGAAACATTCTCTAGTGTGCATTAAATTAATTTTATAATCACACCTCATTTACTGAAGACTCATCACGGAATTTGACATAAACATTGACTGTAGATCGGTCTGGATGGAGTTCATTTTTGATTACTGCAAGTTTGGGAGTCACACGACCATCCTTCACGGGAACTGTGCGAATCCTGTAAAGTTATAAAACTTATTCAAACATTTCTCAAATTTATCTTTTTTTATTTATCCGAACTAAATTAGGTACATTAGAAAAGTAGTTATCCCAATCTAGAAGAATTAATATTTACCTCTTCCTCCTTGATTTATAGTAGTCTTATTATTAATTTAAAAAGTTTTTGTCATGGTACAGCCATACTGCCACTGTATTATTGTAACACAGCATGCACTGACATGGCTTGACCAGAGAAGAACCACATGCTTACAGAATAAAAGTGTAAAATAGCAGCTTAAAGCTGCTGTTTTGAAGATGGTGAGTGTAGAGAACTGGAGACCCCTTTTACTGGTAACCAAGCATTATATCTTAGACGTCAAGGATAATAAATAACGCATCTACATTTTAATTTACATATACACATCTATTTTTTAAGTTAGATGTGGGAGACAGCATCCATATACCATCAGGTGGACTGTATGGAAATTGGCTAAAAAGTGGACTAAATTTTTTAATCAAGTCATTATTAAAATAATTTTTTGCCTTTACATAATTTTTGCTGATATAGCAAAAAAGCCATATGAACCTCATGGTTTGCTTTATGTTTCATATATCAAAAGAATTGGAATAATTTCTTTGAATAAAATGGATGTGATTTTCACACTACTTACATACTTCTTATTAGGAAGTGAAAAAAAAAAATTAATGTGGAAAAAGAAGTTGGAAAAATGGAGTACCATTAAATTTTTACATAATATTAAAAAAAATCATTGAAGTTCTAACCGTATTTAGAACCTGCACATTCATCTTAATTAACTCTTAACAAAAAAACTGCTGGAACAATTCTGATAGAATTTCATCAGATTGTAATTACATAGTTGTGCATTCTATAAGTCCAGTCAAATGTTGATATAATTATAAAACAGATATAAATTCATTAAGTATGTATCTTAATGAATGTACGTCTGCCATAAATAAAAATTATATTGAAAAATATTAATAGAAGAATAATATCTACTTTCAAATATTTGTGTAACATAGAAATATGTTACTTAATTGTGGTAATTGTTTGTACACATTTTAATTGATATTGCTATATGTGTTTGACATTCTCCATATATTAAAATTACTGTGTTGTTTCACACACAATATACTAGTTTAGATGTGAAGTTAAAACTGATGGTGCTACGATGAAGTAATGCTAAGGTGTTGCATATACATCATAAAAATTACGTTAGGTGTTTAGGAGGATGAGGAGGTCAAGTCAAATCTAACACATTCTCACATAGAGGAGAAGTAGGATTTTGGTAAATATCACATAATTTTTTCCGCAAGAAAACAGTGTAAAATTTCAAGAAAATTGGGTTAAATTATTGAATTTGAGGATCTCATCTCATCTCAATTAATCTAGATGCATAAGAAAATAAGGAAGGTCCTCATACATCCACACCCAAAACCAGATTTTTTTGTTTTTGCACAAATTTGGCTGTAACTCTGTTGCTGGGAACCCAGACCTAAGTAATTTAAACACTATAATGAATAACATACCTTACAGTTTCTATCTGCCCATATTTGCTAAAAATTTTTTTGATTTCTTTCTTGCATTTAGCACTAAAAGGCACATTGCCTACAAAAAGGGTTCTTTTGACTTCTTCTTCCGTATTTACAGTCACCTCTTTGTTCTTTTGTAATTTTTCTTGTTTCTTTGGGACTTTCTCTTCTTCATCTGAACTTTCCTCCACTGGGCCTGTATCAAGAGCTTCTTTGTTTGTCTGTTCGTTTTCTGATTCAATTTCATTGTCCGAATCATGTTCTGAATCTGTGTCCTTATCTGTTATTGCATTTGGATTGACAAATGTGCTACTCTTCTTTTTCTTTTTCTTTGAAACATTCACATTACTATCAACTTCTCTTTCTTCATTTCCTTGATCTTCTTTTGTTTCTTCACTTTCCATTTTATTACCTTCATTTTTATTTTTGCGTTTCCTGTTTTTCTTTTTTGCTTGCTTAACTTCTAAATCATCATTTGTATATTCATTTTCTATATTATCACTGTTATTGATATTATTTAATACACATTGTGATTTTTGTTTTTTATTTTTTCCTTTGGGCTTACTTATATTCATGTTTGAATCTTGATTATCTTCCATTTCTGCTTTAGAAGTATCTTCTTGTGTGACTTCTAGTTTATTTTTCTTATTCAAACTCAATGAGGACTGTTTTTCATTCTTTGTACTATCACTAGATTGATCCAGTTGATTTAGAATTTTTTTAGGAGAAAGATTATTCTTGGTATTTTTCTTTTTACTGCTTAGAGGAACATTTACCACTTGGGAATCATTTTTCCCATTAAGATCATTAACTTGGTCATTACTTACATCTATGTTCGCCTCAGTAGTTTCCTCCGATACTGAGGTTTGCTTCTTCTTCTTTTTTTTAGGTGTGTTTTCATTCTGAACTTGAGAATTTTCCAAAACTGCTCCTTCCTCATTCTCCTTACCTAAATTTGTTCGTAACGGCAACTCCTTTGCTTTTGAGTTTTTAATCTTGGGTGATTTCGGGCTCAATAAATTGACATCTGCTTCTAATTCTTCTTTGAGGTGTTTCTTAACTTTGTCTGCTTTTGGACTTTTAGGATTATCTTCACCGTCGTTAGTAGCGTCTAAGTCAGGGTTTTGAAATATTCTTTTAGGTGATTTTTTTACAATAGCTTTCTTTTTCTGCAACGTCGGTGAGAGGAAAATTGACCGGTCATCGACTAGTTCACTTTTAGGAGTTACATTCGGGGAAGGTTGATGTTTTATTGGCGTCAAGGCTTTCTTCGAAAATTTCGGACGGTTTGGAGTTACATTTCCAGACACTAAAGCCGCAACACTGCCCACCACATAATCCATGGTGCATAAATTAAAACGTGCGAATTTTAAAAGTTTACATAAATTCGACGCACATGGCACTTGCGACAATTGACAAATGACAATCAAATGTAAAATTTTCACTGACGTAAAAAGTGGTGTGACCAACTTGAAAATATTAAGATCCCATATGTATAAAAATAAATAAGATTGAAATGTCTGTTTGTAATATCAAAATCACAGATTTTTACGAAGCTATATTAATAAATAAAATTGAAGTGTCTGTTTGTAATATCAAAATCACAGATTTTTACTAATCGCATATAAAAATATATACGGTACCTTTAACAAAAACACAATTTTTAAAATTTTTGACTGCCTGTCTGTCTGTTTGTTCTGGTTAACCTCCGAAACGGCTGGACCGATTTTAACAGGACTTTCACTGGTAGATAGCTCATGTTATAAGGAGTAACTTAGGGTACTTATAGTTTAGAAAAATAGTTAGGGTTCCGCGCAACAAAATTAAAACCCTAAATTACACGCAGGCGAAGTCGCAGGGAACAGCTAGTATTTTATAAAAACTGTCAAATATTGCTGAAAACCTCAAATGAAATCTTTAAGGGTGGGCTAACACGTTCATTAATAACGAAAAATACCAGTTCATCAATAATAATGACAATACACAGTACATATTTATGATGCCGTTTAAGTTATCAATAAATATTCAGTTTCAATATTCTGGTTTGGAATTCTGAAAGCAGCAAGTCCATATAAAATCTATGACCCGTCACACACGTACCCTAGTTTTCGGTTCGATATTTTGCGGCAAAACGGGATACCGTATGTGTGTGGCCGACCCGTTCGGAATTCCTAAACGGAATCCCTAAACGGAATTTCGTATGTATTGTTGCGGGCAGACATGTAAGTTATCTAAGATATAAGTATCTGAAATACATATACAATATACAAAATACGTATTTTCATCTTGTAACTATAAAACTTTTTTAAAATTAATTTCGTATATTGTATTTAAATACCTTTTGTTTAGTATTTTAATATTTTGTGGATACTATATTTGCTAAAATACTTTTAGTAAAAGATAACAGATTCTATTGTGACATCTTAGGTGACATTAATTTTAAATATCGATGTTGTCGTAGATAAAACTGAACACGCCATTGAATCTTTGGAAGTAAAGACTAGAAATGAGTTGGGGGGTGGGTCGGTGGGTCGAACTTTAATCCTAGTCAGTTTTAATAGCCTATCATATAGAGGATGTCATGGGAGTCATGGTTGAATAGGGGCAAAAAGTTCTCATTACACTCCTAAGGGGTCAAAATGGCCAAAAACCAAAAAATTGAAATTCTTATTTCGGCTATAACTCCGCCTCCTTCGGAGATCCTTACACAATCTTTACTTCCCGCATCCTACTTGTTAGTCTAGGGCTAAACTAATAGATGACGTGGCAATTCTTTCTTTCTATAAAATGTCACCGGCTGTTCCCCTTTATTCGTATCATTTCTAATTATTCCGCATAATAGTCTGTGTTTCAGGGAGACACGTAAAAGTTTGGTCATATCAGAAGCCCCTGTGGAGCTACTCTTCTCATTTGGGGGCATGATCATGAGGCCAAGGAAATAAGTGATAAACTGTTTGAAGAATAGGTTTTACTTAAGTCTCAATTAAAACCTTAAAAATATAATATTATATTGTGTCACGTTTGCGCGATAAACGCGATTTACATGTAAAAAATAAACTTTCATTAAAAAAGTTGTTTTTTTACAAAAGTATTTTATCTATAAAAAGTATTCAAAAGGTACATAATTTATATCTAGTATTTCAGACAGCATTCCAGAAAGTTATTTGCATCTGATATCTGAAACACTTAATTTAAAAGTATTTTGCATTTTGTATTTCACATACTTAATTTAAGGTATCTTGTACATCACTGGTGGCGGACCTTAAACGGACTTGGGGAAACGTGAACGATACAAATAAGCTTACCCTCTATAGTAGCCATTGGACTAAAAAATACGAGAAAGCGATGTTGTTGTGTAAAAAATGAGATGGCTAAAGGTAATGTGTACATTCTTAAGAATCTTTGAAGAAAATAGTAGACGGCGACGACATAATGTCATTCTCCTGTTTTACTATTATAAACCAGTGCTTAACTATTATCGCATAATATGTTTACTACCGAAAATGGCAAAGCGCACTGACATAAATTACCAAAAGCCGATTACACCAATATAATGATTTCTTATATTTACGCGAACACTACACATTGAATAAAACTATTTTTACGGATTTTATGGCGTTTAATTAACTTATTTTATATTCCCGATGTTTCGGTATATAAACAAAAAATATACTTAGAATCAATTTTACCGGCCTCGAGCACAGGCGCAAAGTACTCAGCCTTTCGTGTTTTTATAAGATACATTTGTGAGAGTGTACACAGGAATTGCATGACTTAATTCCTTCCTCTCCGTTTCATCATCGGACCACCAGGCGCTCAGCTGGTTGGCCCCTTTGTTGTCGATTTACCAAACATACGAACCTAACGATTTGCTTTGTTAATAATGTGTAAAAAGTACAAAGGAGTGGAATAATTTGCGAGCATCTGTCTTACAATTCGATTATAATATAGGGGTTGTCAAAGCAAGAGTAAATAGGATTTTATAACACCAAGACAAGGTGATTTATCATCTAGGGATTCGTCGTCACTTACTAACAAGTGGGATTGTAGTCAAGCATGGCTAAGAAGTAAAAAAGTACTTAATGGCTTTTACTTAAATTACTTTAACGCATTAAAAATGCAAGAAGTTAAATATTAATTGGAATTTTGCTAACAAGGAAGAAAACTATCACAAGCAAATTATTTGTCAAACTTGATGTGGATTTTAAATTACATTCCTTTTTCCTTTTTACGCATAGTTATTTCATTTTGTGTGATTATCTTTATTTATAGATAATATTTATTGAGCTGCCCTTTACATATAAATGAAAGTTGTCGTAATAAACCTATGTATTATCAGAAAAAGTGAACACTTTAATGTTACCAGTAATGAAGTTAATTACTAATTTAAGGATATATTTCAGTTTTATTTTTAAGTCTTTTATTTTCTATTGGCTTATAGGTTTTTGGAATATGACTTTTTTACGCAATAGAGCTATCTTATGGTTATAGGACAAATATGTCAGCTCGACCGGAGAAGCCACATAATGATTCGTATGGTGAGTGTAGAGCAACGGAGACTCCTTTTACTGGAAATGAGGTACTCCATCTTAGTTCTCAGGAGTAACAACGCATCTGTATTTTGATCTTCGATTAAGAATCAAAGTCAAGATGCGTTGTCGAGTATATATGTAGATTTCTATGGATTATAGCATCCACTTATCATCAGATGGATAATGTGCTTATACGTCTCTTTTATTGTTTATAAATAAAGATTACAACATACATCACCTGAATAACAAACATAAATAAAGTATCATGTGAAAGAGCTTGCCATGTACACCACGCTAGGTAGGCGGGGCAACGCAAACTTGATACCTTAACACCGATATACTGATAATGCTGCTCTTCTTCATCAGCCTGTGTGAATTAGATTCGGCATAATTAGTATCAGTTGGATTGTGTATGTTTAAAAAAATATTTTTGTAAAAGCGTTGATTATTAATTCATTATTAAGCACTCGCTTTGATTCTGTAACTTCTGTGATTGAGATACATAAATGTATAAAAAATATATATTATGATATAACAGATTTTGAAATTTTTGAGAAGGAAGTGACAGTTTTATAATATTATGCTTCACTGTTAAGTTAAATGTCTGTGTTTGCTACGAAAACCTTGAAGAAGACAAAATATTTATTTGCACTTTTATAACCTCTTTAGCAATCTAAAAATGCGGATATTTGCTTTTATTTAATCTATACATATAAATAAAATTGAATTGTCTGTTTGGAATGTCACAATTACAGATTTTTACGAAATTCATATGAAAGTATGTACGGTACTAATAACAAAAATACAATTTTTAAAGTTTTTGTCTGGCTGTTTGTTCCGGCTAATCTCCTAAATAGCTAGACAAATTTTGACGGGATTTTCACTGGCAGATAGCTGATATCACAAAGAGTAACTTAGGTTACTTTTATTTTAAAAAAAGAATTAGAGTTCCGCGTAAAAATATTAAAACCCCAAAGAACACGCGGGCGAAGTCGCGGGGAACAGCTAGTTTAATATAATTTTAGAAATCTTTTATCAATTTTAGTCCATGTTTTATTATTTTAAAATCTTTCCGTAAAAAAAGTCGTTTTGATGCTATCTGAAATCAAGATTTGGCACAATATCAGCATATTTTTCTTCAAAGATTGTTAAAATCTGTTAATATAAATAAATTACAATCTTGGGAAATAAACACAAATACACGAAAGGAAAAGTGATGGATGTTATTTTATTGGTATAAGGTCCAAAATTTTATTTTACTGACGGTTGGATGACAAAAGAAAACTTAAAAGAAAACGACATTCGATACTCTAAAATAAATATCTATATATCGATATATAGCGATTTAAAATATCGACAATATATATCGATATTTATATTAAAAATTATCGATATATTGATATTGTTTGCCCAAGCCTACTTCGCATAGACTAATAGGTATATAATATTGGAGATCGTAGAGGCAGTGATGCCAACTTAGCAACTTTATAGCTAGATATAGCTATTTTTTGGTGACGGACAGCTACAATTTAATGAAAGAACAATGACAGACTTTCATACATAAAATTAGTTGAGAAGGAATGGTAGCATAGGTAGCATATATCAAAAATATCTTAAAATGTTAAATGTCAGTCCCTTAATAACTGTGTCAAAGAATTTTGTCCTGAGAAGGCGTCAAAAAAAATATTCAGATTTGAATCTTTGTGGGGTTATGTCTTATGTCACTTGGAAAAAGTCATGCTTCCTGTGGTTGTTTGATGTTAGTTTGATACCTAATACATAATTGAGAGTTTTTAGATTATTGTATCTCT